TTACTGGGAAAACATTAGATAAATATTTACAGAAAATTCGCCTTTTTTACATTTTTGAGCTCACACACCTGGATGAATATATAGTTTTTATTCTCTAAGGTTAGCAATGAAGAAAAAATTAAACTATTATTACATTTTTAAGAAACCATGTATGCCTGATTACAAAATAGACTTTAGTATCTGAAAATTACAAGGAACTTCTATGGCTAGGACTTAAATAATCATTAAAAATAATGTTTTTGAAGACTATATAATATGGGTAAACTCGTGATATAGAAAGTTTAAAAAGCTGCACACAAAATTGTAATTATTTTCTTAGTTTCATTTATATGTATGAATGGATGTTTATATTTAAATGTATCCTTTTATAAAAATGACAAAACTACACCAAAATGTTGATTATGATTATGTCTGGAAGGTATGATTATAGGGGATATTTGTTTTCTTCGATACCTTTCTGTATTTTCCATTTATCTATAGTATGCATATATTATTGTCATATTGAGAACTTTATATCTAACCTGGTTATTTCTTTCAAAGGAAGAAATAATATTTAGCTATTTCCTAGTAGCAAATTTTATCTTCTAATTTTGAGTGCCCATGCTACTTGAATTTTATAATTACCTATAATTGGTCAGTAAATACATTTGGCATTTCTTTAGTTTCACATTGATTGCCTTTTCAATAATTCCTAGATGGGAAGCAATGACTGAATTTCCCCAGGAAAGAAGTTCCATCAGTTTGGTCAGTCTGGCTGGATCCCTGTATGCCATCAGTGGTTTTGCCATGATTCAGCTCGAGTCCAAAGAGTTTGCACCCACTGAAGTCAATGATATATGGAAGTAAGTTCTCCTCACTCCACTTTTCTGAACCAAATATCAAATTCAGATAAGTGATAATTGACAAAATGAACAATTTTTAAGTAAATCGTAAGCCAGACTTTCCTAACATGTAAGCTACTTATTGGTAGTAGACTCGGAATCCAATTGAACTTTTGCGAATGCTACTTCTTCTAACCAGAACCTATCTAGACTTGTTTCGTTGCTTTAAAAATATATTTCTTTATTGATTTCAGAGAAGAGAGAAGGAGAGATAGAAACGTCAATGATGAGAGAGAATCATTGACTGGCTGTCACCTGCACAACCCCCATTGGGGATCAGGCCACAACCGAGGCATGTGCCCTTGGTCGGAATCAGACCTGGGACCCTTCAGTCCACAGGCTGACACTGTCCACTGAGCCAACCTGGCTAGGGCTGGGCTTGTTCCTTAACCAATTAAATGAGAATTGAACTGTTGATCCTTTAAGCTCCATTCCAGCTCTAAAAGTGCAATACTCTACGCTATTTCCAAGTCACTTACCTTTCTACCAGAGAGTATTCAATTTCCTCAGAAAACAGTTCTGAAGAAATGTTTAAACTCTTAAGTTTTCCATTAATTCATTGATTCTATTTTAAATCTAATTTCTATGGTTTTACATATTTCTTGAGGATTTAGTTACAAAAGCTTTTTTTTATAAAAAATGTTTATGTTTTTTAAATATATTTTACTGATTTTTTTAGTGAGGAAGGGAGAGGGATAGAGAGTCAGAAACATCAATGAGAGAAACATTGATCAGCTGCCTCCTGTATACCTTGGTTATGAATTTCAGTTGTTATCATACCCTAGTGCTCAGCACATAACCTGACACTAGGGGTTACACCATAAAAATCCATTTTCCTGCCTCTGTGTGCTACTCTTAGACAGCACTTGATGTTAAGTAAGATCTGGTTGTTCCCTGCGAATATTCAGGGTTATAAAGTTTCAGACAGCTTGAATTCCTCTCCCTGGTGCCTGGAATGCTTTTCTCTCTTTGCATGAGAAACTCTCAAATGCTGCCTTCTCTCTGAAGCCTTTCTTGCCTTCGTCTCTTCATTTTTCACATTTTCCTTTAAATAGTATCTTTATAGCAATTATTCTGTTTTAATCCCCCCTCCTATATTTATGTTCTTAAGAACTTTTGAGGACAAATAATATATCTTACTCATTTTCCCTCCAGAAGCAATTGCTTGGCACAAAGAAATACCCCAGCCCTGGCTGATGCAGTGGTGAGAGTGTCAGCCCAACCACCAAAGGGTGGAGGGTTCCATCCCAGCCCTAGTCCCCTTGTGCGGGAGGCAGCCAATCAATGTGTCAACCAATCTCTCTCTCTCTTTTACCAGCACCCCCACCCCCCGCTTTCCTCTCTCCTTCCACTTTCTCTAATAAAAATTAGTGAAAAAATATCCTTGGGTAATGATTAATAATTAGCTGATACCTATGTAAGATATGTACTATGTGACTTAATTTCTTCAAAAGTCCAAATTTAATTCTCACCCAGTTCTTACCTTAAGATAGAGTTTGTTGGCCTATAAAAAACAGCCATATCTGTCAGTCCAAAGTGACTGATTAATTGCCTGTGTATTATTCCTCACCTCTGGACAGTCAATGATTCCCAGATAAGACTTAACTTCCTAAACATCCAGATTAAATACTATGGAAGGTTCAGACATATCTCATTCAAAGGATGAATATTTTGGGATGGATTCAAATATTACTCTGCACCAGTCAAGGGCAACCTCCTCTGGCAAAGATTCACATTTGTATATTTAACACATAAAGAACTATCTACTTAAAAACTGCTTATTGATTACTCTTTTTTCTCTACCAGGTATGAAGATGATAAAAAGGAATGGGCTGGGATGTTGAAAGAAATACGTTATGCTTCAGGAGCTAGTTGCCTCGCAACCCGTTTAAATCTCTTCAAAGTGTCTAAGCTGTAAACACGAAGGTGGAAAAAATGTAATAGATTGGGAGGTGGTTTGTTTGGATAACAAGGCTTTAATTTATTCTTCTTTTTTTTAAGCCTATACAGAAATCCATGTAGAAATTATCCACTAAATTGCTGTGCAAGAGGTTAGCAGTGGGTATCAAAACCTCAGAGTCACTGAATCTTCAATGTAATGATCTTATCTGAAAGCCATTTTCTAATGAGAAATTAAATATTAACTTGAACAGATTATCTCTTTTGGGACCTCTCAATCAATGACTATAAAGCAGGTTCCTAGATTTGAGTTGCTAATTCCTTCATTTGCATTTTTAGGGTAACTTTACATGTTTTCTATTACAAATTAAACTGGAGAATGAGATATGTACATCTACATTTTTAAAATGTTTAAAACATCAAAAACATTCCCTTCTAGTGCCTCAAGATATGACAAGAATCCTATGCATTATATTAAAGATTACATGCCAAGAGACTTCCAAGATGCTATTTAAAGAGTATAATAAATGAGTCTCATTTGAAGGGGAAAAGTCTCTTAGTAGTCAAATTCAAGCGATCTTTTTCTCCATTCTTTTGTGACACTGGTATACAGTTTGTGATTTAAATTTAAAAATTTTTTTTTCAATTTAAAACCACCCAATAACAGTTTTCAAGCCTTTAACAAAAGTATCTGTGGTGAGAGGGAGGGACAGTGTCCTTAAACTGCTGAGGCAGAAGTTGGGGCCAGTGGGTGGTATGGAGGAGGGTTTATCCATACTTTCCAGGAAAGAGCTATTGCAAATTTCTGAAAGGAAGATGACAGTATTATTCCATTTTCCTGGGACATAAGACCCTTATATTCAAGCTATTTGTTCTTAGTGTAGTAGTATACAGGGTGGAGTAACAGGTTTACAGTTGTTCATATGAAAAATAATTCAATAATTAATAAATAATAATGCAAGAATAAACTGTGTTTCACATACTCACAACTGTAAACTGACTTTTGCCCCAGCCTGTATAAAGTAAATTGACCTGTAGTTCTGTCCAGAACCATCACAGTCATTGCTCTCAATCATCAACTAATCATCGTTTTTGGGCCTCATGTGCTTTCATAGACATGTTTAACATCTATCCTGACATGATATTTTCTGAGAAACCTGATTTAGGACTGATTTGGAGTATTCTCTGATTAGGGAGAGTGCTGAACTCTATAGACATGAGATTAAGTTGTAAAAATAATCCTTTGGGATAAGGAAAATGTTCTGGAATTAGATAGTTGTGGTGATGGTTGCACAATCATGTGAATATACTAAAAACCACTGTCCTAGCCCTAACTGGTTTGGTTCAGTGGATGGAGCGTCGGCCTGTGAACTGAGGGGTCCCAGGTTCGATTCTGATCCAGGGCATGTGCATTGGTTAGGGACACATCCCCAGTAGGAGGTGTGCAGGAGGATAAAGCGTCGACCTGCAGACTCAAGGGTTCCAGGTTTGATCCCGGTCGAGGGCATGTACCTTGGTTGCGGGCACATCCTCAGTGGGGGATGTATAGGAGGCAGCTGATTGATGTTTCTCTCTCATCGATGTTTCTAATTCTCCCTCCCTCTCCCTTCTTCTCTGTAAAATATCAATAAAATATATTTTAAAAAATATATCATCTAAGGTGTATGTATGTATATATGTACACAAACATACACACACACATCCCCCCCCCCAGAAAAAAAAAAAAAAAAAAACAGGGAAAAGGGAGAGAGATAAAAGCATCAATGATCAGCTGCCTCCTGCATGCCCCCTATTGGATCGAGGCCGTAACCTGGGCATGTGCCCTTGATCAGAATTGAACCCGTCCACAGGTTGATGTTCTAACCACTGAGTCAAACCACTTCGGGCTAAATGACTCCATGTCTAAAGATACAGTGTACTCACTGCTGTATTATCAATATCAAAAACAGTTCCTGGCACATAGTATGTACTCAAAGATGAATTGTAAACTATTTAAATTTCTTAAAAGCAACATGTCTTTTATATTAAGAATTTTAAACAATTTCCCAACAGACAGTGGAGAGGATATTCTATTGTAAAATGTCTTTTTATTTTAATATAGATTAAATTGATCTTAAAACCAGTCAATTCTATACTATTACTTAACTGAGTCAGATCACTTAATTAAAATAAGTTCATATGTAACACACTATGGTAACTAATTTTAAATAAAAACTGCAATCATGATTTGCCGTCTCCAAATATACGTTCCCTTAGGTAGTCCATTCGAGCACTCTTTGTTGACAGTACCATAGAGTTCCATTCAAAATGAGGGATCTGTGAAAAAATAAGTAATGCAGATTGAGAGGATATTAAGGCAACAACAACAAAAACACCAGGGAAGACTTCTAAGCACTGCTGAGCATAGCAGCAGAAGCCCTATGCAGTCAGTTTACAGAAGCACAGCCTCTGAACCCGTTTTGGAAGCCACGTGGGTCCTTTCTTCCTGGCGGCCCAGAAGGCCTTTTCTGCCTCACAGCTCTTTTCATCCTGCTGTTCCTATAATACCAACAATGGACACTTTTTTCTAGGCACCTTTCCAACATTCATACTCTAGCCTTTTTCTCTTACAACTCTATCCATCTGCTAAGATAAATGAAGACAAGTCAACAGGTCTTCGAGGTACAAGTAATGATTTTTATTTCCACTAGAGGCCCGAGGCACAAAATTCGTGCAGGGGCCTGGCCCCGCCACAGTGGCTCCATCTGGGCAGCTGTCGGAAAAGTCGTCTGACCTAATTAGCATATTGTGCTTTTATGATTATAGATTCTTCCAAACAATGGAGGATATTTTAATACAACTTTTTTAAATATTAAAAAAGTTGTAATTTGGCCTAGCGCGCATGGCTCAGTGGATAGAGCATTGTCCTGCGGACTGAAGGTTCCCAGGTTTCATTCTGGTCAAGGGCACATGCCCAGGTTGCAGGTTTGATCCCCAATGGGAGGCAACCAATCGATTATCTCACTCATCATTGATGTTTCTATCTCTCTGTCCCTCTCCTTTCCTCTCTGAAATCAATAAAAATATTTTAAAAAATTTTTTAAAGATTTAATTCTAGAAATTCATCATTAAAAGGAAACACATGTACATTATTCTGTCTAACTAACTACATAAAGCATTTTTTCATTAAGATATAGTTCACATACCATAGGTTTTTTTAAGAGGATGATTTACATGAGTATCTCATACCTGAATTACACGATAGCCCAAAATCTCCAAATGTCGTTTTTTCATAGCAGATTTTCCTTTTAAATGAGGAATGTTTCTACAAAAAGCTCTTAAATCCAAAAATTCCAAAGCAATTCTATATAAGATAAAAATAAATATGTGTTTTAAAATCAAAATGAATGATTATAAGCCTTTCAGGAAAATATTGTATTTTATAAACTGACAAAAATCAAATGTATATAAATGAGTATACCAAATTATTCTCTGTCTAAATTATTAATGCAATTAAGCCTATTTCTTAGAATTATAGCAATTATAATAAATATCTCCATGCTTTCATCCATTTGTTTCTCTATCTAAAATTTATTTATTATGAACCTATCATATGTAAGGAAGACACTGTGAGATGCAAAGATTAAATGACATAGCTTTAGTAAGGAATGGCGGGGTGCTATCAGAAAAGCAGAAAGGTATGGAGGCTCCAAAGAAGATACTATTTTCCTCTGCTGAAGTTAACTAGGAGATTAGCACTTTATGTTAGGCTTTGGACAATGAAGGTTGGACATTAAGGCAGAAAGCACAGAAAAGGCAAAGGTATAGGGGCAGAATACATAAGATGGATGAGAAGCAGATTCTGCTACTCCATAAATCCTTGATAAATGAATTCATTAGATTATGCCAAATATAACATTTAGATGACAAAATCTGAAACTAAAAAATAAGTTACCTTTCAGCTCCTGGTGGCAGACTCGATCCAACTATTTGGGTATTTGATTCCCAGTGCATTTGTGGCATTTTCCCCAAAGTTACATTATGGCTTCCATAAGGAAGTGGGTTTTTTCTTTTATCCAAGATACACTCAAAATCTATAAGCAAGTACAAGAATCAACAATATGAATTATCCAATGATCCAAAATCAATCAATATAAAACAACCAGCAATAGTGTGGCCAATTTATATATATTAAACTATAACTAGTATTTAGCATAGGACTACATTTAAGCACTAGACTAGGCCAAATCACATTGAAGGATTTATTTTTAATCCCCTTGATTCTGTTGGTCACATTTGGAGGGAGCTAAGCCAACACATCTGAAAACTAGTAAAGATTGAGGCATGTATCCTGTCTTTCCTATATGAAGTATACATAAGCATAAATAGTTGATATTTAAAGTTTTTAAACAAATTTCAGCCAATGAACTCAGAAGGAATGATAGATGTAGAAGATCACTACTTTGCCCCCCTCCAATGAATGATGGATTTAAGCAATTTTTTTTTTAATTTGTTGTTGTTGTTAATCCTCACCTGAGGATATTTTTAAAAAATATATTTTATTGATTTTTTATAGAGAGGAAGGGAGAGGGATATAGAGTTAGAAACATCGATAAGAAATATTGATCATCTTCCTCCTGCACACCCTCTACTGGGGATGTGCCCAAAACCAAGGCACATGCCCCTGACCAGAATCGAACCTAGGACCCTCAGTCTGCCGGCTGACACTCTATCCACTGAGCCAAACAGGTCAGGGCCTGAGGATATTTTTTCCCATTGATTTTTAGAGAGTGGAGGGAGGGAGAGAGAAAAAAACAAAACAAAACATCAATATGAGAGACATATCGATTGGTTGCCTCTCAGATGTGCCCCAACTGGGATGGAGCCTGAAACTCAGGTACATGCCCTCATGCCCTGTGAATTGAGCCCATAACCCTTCGGTAGTTCTGGCCAACTCTCTAATAACTTAGCCACATTGGCCAGGGCTAGACAATTATTTTAATGGCTACTAAAATCAGTAGGTGAAATGCAATGGGAAAACTTTCTAATGGATGAGATGATAATATACAAACCCATTGATGGAGCTTAATATAATAAAAAAGAAGACAATCAGTATCATGTGTCCTCTGATATGATCCAATGGAAATTACACACCACGTACACTAAAATAGTGTGGCCAATTTATATATACAGATATAAAAAATCTAATCAAACCTCTAAATCTAACTACTGATTTACAGGAAAAACAGGGGATGGAGGAGCATGTTAAATGACACCAAGGGTTGCAATTGTGAGAAAAGTTCAGAATGTGAAAATATATATACACACACACAAAATAAGTTGTAAGTTCTTATAAAGAGAGAACGGTAGAACTTATAAAAAAAGGATAAATAACCAAATGCAATGTTTGCAAAAGATAGATATAGAGACAGTAAAGCAACAAGCAGATTGTCAAATTACAACGGGGAGGGGAGGAGGGTCTGGGGGAGACAATAAATCAACCCAAGGACTTGTATACCTGCATATAAGTACAACCAATGGACATAAAACTCTGGGGAGGGAGGGGATACATGGGAGGGAAGGAGGGGGGCAAAAAAAAAAAATCAATAAAATATGTAAAATAAAAAAAATAAATAAATAAATAAATTAAAAAAAAAAAAAAAAAAGAAAAAAAAAATGCAATGTTTGGATCCCACTTTTAACAAATCAACTATAATACAAAACAAAAGAAAATTGAGACATTTGAGCACTGGCAAGCTATCGACATTGGAAATTATTGTGGATGGCAGTAGGGGGTGGTGATGATACTGTGGTTAAAAAGCCATCCTTAGCGCCCTGCTCAGCGTTGCTCAGTGGTTAGAGCATTGGCTCAAGTACCAAAGGGTCAGGGTTTGATTTCCAGACAAAGGTACAAACTTAGGTTGCAGGTTTGATCTCAGCCCCAATTGGGGTGCATGAGGGAGGCAACCAATCAGTGTTTCTCTCTCTCTCTTTCTCTTTCTCTCCTTCTACAACTACACTACTGAGAAACAATATTAACCAGGTTAGAGTTGTGCACAAACCTATGAAAATCCTCATCCAGGTTGATAATCCAACTTAGTTTTTGAGATGAATTTAAAACAATGGCATAAATAATTTCCCTAATTTTAGGACACTGCATGGAGAGGACAAAATGTCTTGAAGATCCAGAAATGTCCAGTGAGTCTAAACCTGAGTTTTATGTATTCGAATTGATGAAAGACTGACCTTAGAAGAAATGTTTTTGAAGAACAGCAAAATGCTAATAGTTACCAAAGCTGGGTCATGGGAACTGGAGGATTCATTGCACTGTTCTTTTCTACTTCTGTGTATTTGGAAATTTTTGTTTTTTGTTTGTTTGTTTGTTTGTTTGTTTTAGAGAGAGGAAGGGAAAGAGAGAGAAACATCTATTTGTTGTTACTTATTTCTGCATTCATTGGTTGCTTCTTGTATGTACCCTGACCAGGGATCGAATCTGAAGCCTGGTGTATCAGAAAGATGTTCTAAACAAATGAGCTACCTGGCCAGGGCCAGAAATTTTCAAGATAACCTGAAAAAATGCAAAAAAGCCTCTTTAAAATCCCAGTTGATGAGATGACTTACCTAGTAAGTGGTAGTAAGATGTAAGAGCGGAGGCTTTTACACAATTGGCTCCTCCTAACACTTCTGCTAACATTTTATAAATCTGCTGCTGTGCTCCATTCAGGCTGCCAATATCTTTATAAAAATAAAAAGAATTGCTTTACTTAAAATAATCAGTTTTTGAATGAAAACCATGCAATTCTATAAACTGAAACATAAAGATTCATATTCATATTTCCAACAAGAGCTTCAATGTAATATCATATGCAATGACTCTAGATTCAGTATAACACAAGTTCTTTGCTCTCTACCAAATATTATTAAATTCTTATTACACAAATCTCACCTACAAAAAGGTCCCATTAAACAGGTCATGGCACTGTTGGGAACTCTGGTGTCATGGTTAGGTTTAAAAGTAACAATGTACTGTCTAATAATTTAGAGTTAAACTTCACTTTCTGACCCAAAGAAAACTCAAACCTTTATTATAAAGTTGCTGACAGAAGCGGTCATGAAACCATGGAATCTGATACTCAGGGCATTCCAAGCAGACTGCTCTATTTAATTCCATAAGACGAAACTGGACCTTCCTATTTAGAGTTGAATATAAAACTGAAATAAAAAAATATATTAATGGATTTTGATAGCTGGAACCTAGCAAAGACAATACATTTTTCACATTCATTTATCGTCACTATTGGTTGATACTTTTATTCTGATAAAATCATTCCATTGCACACACATGCTTTATGTTTTTAACTTACTCCATTCAGTGGCATGATTAGGACCACCTCCTATGTTATTTCTACTAATTATTAATGTTAAATCTACATTTTAAAAAATACTACCAAAGAATTTTCATTTACCCATTATTCTGCATTTAGGACTCTATCCACAGGAAACTAAAATGAGGTCAATGATTCATATATTACAATCATCCTATCTAATAAAGAGGGAAGATACTAATTAACCATCACACCATCGCAAAGATGGTGGCACCCACAGCCAATAAGAAGGGAATATGCTAATTAACTGCCATGCCCTCAAAGATGGTCCACAGCCACAAGATGGTGGTACCCAGTCCCCTCAGCCCCACTGGGGCAGCAGGTGCCTGCCTCCAGAGTCCCCCAGTCCCTTCAGCCCACCAGCCTCCCAGGACTGCCTGAGGCTCAGGTAACCAGGGCCAGCCGAGGTCTGTGCTGGTGGCAGTGGCAGCAGCAGAGGTGTGATGGGGCATCGCCTTCCCCTGATCACCGGGTCACCTCCTTCCCTGAGGGTTCCTGGACTGTGAGAGGGTGCAGGCCGGGCTGAGGGACGCCCCCTCCAGTGCATGAATTTTCATGCACTAGGCCTCTAGTTATTTATAATAACCTCTAAGATAAGTAAACCTTACTATATCTATATAATGGCAGATTATTTAGACACTAAAAAAATCATGACATATCATAGTGATATAAGTCAGTCAGAGAAAGACAAGTATCACATGATTGCACTCTGTGTGGAATCTAAGTAACAAAATAAACGGATGAACAGAGTGGATTCAGAGACATTCATGGAACAGAGTGGATTCAGAGACAATCGTGGAACAGAGTGGGGAATCTCAGAGGGAAGGCGGAGGAGGTAATCAACCAAAGACCTCATATACATATATGCATAACCCATGGACACAGACAGGGTGCTGAAGGCCTGGGGCAGGGGTGGATTGGAGGGGGTCACTGGGGGATATATGTAATACTTTCAACAATAAATAATTATTTTTTTTTAAATCATGACATCAAAAAATATTTAATGGCATGAAAAATCATTCAAAATACAGTTTAATGACTAACATAAAAATGAACACATAAATAATCCAAATTTTATTTTAAAATATGTATCTTCTATATGTAAAAAAGCCTAAGCAATCGAATGACCGAACAACCGAATGACTGGTCGACTTGTCACTATGACGCGCACTGACCACCAGGGGGCAGATGCTCAACACAGGAGCTATCCCCTCGTGATCAGTACACTCCCACAGTCAACCTCCCTCAGTCGCTAAACTCCCTCGGGCCCTCCCCACAGCTGGCCACACCTTCTGCAGCTCCTCCCTCCAGCTGACCAGCCCCCTTGGCCCAGACTGGGCAGTCCCAACTGCTGCCCAGGCCCAGAGACCCCATCTTTGCACAAATTCATGCTCTGAGCCTCTAGTAGATATGTAAGCATATACAAAAGAGCAGGCAAGAGATAAGAAAGAAAGAAACCCTCCAAAACATTAAAAGTAGTAGTTTCACTTGATGATAAGATTGAGTAATTTTTTACTTTCTGTTTTATGTTTTCTGTGTTTTCCAAATTTTCTACAATAAGCAGGAAATACTTCTATAAGCAAAAAAAAAAAATTAACATTTAAGTGCTTTGATATAGATAAGAGTTGAAACTTGGATATAATATGCAAATGATAACAATTAAATATAGATACATACTTTCAAGTTGAGAATCCAATCTGCTTAAAAATTTGATGTTAAAAATTGTCCTTAGCAGATCTTCTGGAAAATATTCAAGCGTGGCAAAAAAGAAACCAAGAAACACTAACCTGAGAGGATCCAATAGACCTAAAACAAAATTAAAAATTTTTAAAAATTACTACAGCCACCTCACATATATATAAGCACACACTTTATTCAGATAAAACCAGGTTTTTAAGAAATGATACAAACACCTTCTTGCCTAAAATAGAATATATTGCCAGTAGTTAAGTAGTTGCCTTTGGGTGGGGGTAGAATATAAAAAGGGAAAAGAAAGAAGGGTACTGTAGTAATTCTGTTTCTTGATCTGCATACTGATTCCATGTATGCAGATCAAGAAACATACATGGAACCAGTATGTTTATAAATCAAATTTATAAATTTCTCTAAATTCATACTATATGCTTCTTTATTATCCTTTCATTAAAAGTTTTTAATTGCCTTGAAAAGAAAAAGAATTCAAACCTAAAGGTTAATAGCGTACAGAAAACTAAGTGATCCCAATCTCTATATACTGTTATGCTTTTATAATAATAAAAGCATAACATGCTAATTAGACCGATGTCCTTCTGGGCATCTTTCCAGACGACTTTCCGGATGGAGCCGGGCTCTGCGGGAAGCCCAGGTCCCCGGTGCCAGAGGGAAGCCGGTGCTGGCAGCTGGGGGAAGGAAGGCCTACTCTTGCATGAATTTCGTGCATCGGGCCTCTAGTAATAACATAATAATGCTCAGAATTGTTAGGTATCACTGTAAGCACTTTACAAATATTAACTCATTTAAATCTCATTTCAGTATGCAGCAGAAACGGTTACTATTTCCACTTTACAAATGAATGTACAGAGATACAGAGAAGTCAAAAGACTTGCTCAAAGTCACAGTTAGCAGGTGGAGGATGAGATTTAACCTGGCGAGTCCTGCCTGTAGCCTGGACCACTGCACTGTGTACTCTGTAGGGATCTCAGATTTCCAGGCTGAGTGCAGACATGCAAAAAGCTCAGATCTCACCTAGCACCTCCTCCCTTACCTGTCACCCAGCAGCATGGTACATATCCCTCCTCCCTTACCTGTCACCCAGCAGCATGGTACATATCTCTTGGATGAGGCAAATCAGCCAAGCACCTCCTCCCTTACCTGTCACCCAGAAGCATGGTACATATCTCTTGGATGAGGCAAATCAGCTAAATTATCTCAAGCCTTACCGGCTTGAGATAATTTAGCTGATTTGCCTCATCCAAGAGACATTTCTGATGAGAGGCAAGGAGTTATCCAAAATGCCCAAAAGTATAATACAAAAAGAATGAAATACTTTCTTTTGGATTTTTTGCAGAGTTTATTTTAATAAAGCAAGATCAAGATAAATGAGGTATTTACCAATCTGTCAAAACTAATGTCTATTCAAAATAAAGAGAATTATTATTCCATTAGTTATTTTTAATTATCTTATAAAGGTCTCTAAAAATTTTCATTCTCAGAAAGTCTTTTTAAAAAATCAAAGCTGAAAAAAAAAATCAAAGCTGTACTTCTCAACAGTACTTCTCTTATACCCTATATTTAAAAAAAAAATTCTAATAGCTAAGCCTCTATTTAGAGAATATGAGAAGATATGTATTTTCATTTTCTTATGAAACATGACTGAACAACCAGAAAAGCATATTCTAAGTCTCAGTTTCAAGTCTCATCTTTCTACATATACTTGTGCTACTAAAAATGTTGTATACACTCATTCATATATAAACATACACATATCACAGTCCTATTTTACTTGTCTATTAGCAAACACAATTGTGTCAGACATGGTTAGACATTATATGACCTATAAATCCCACAAAAATGTATTAAAGTCTATGAGCATGATACTGATAAAATTAATATATACTGGTCTCACAACAGCTTAATTATTAAAATTGATATAAAGAATCAGATATTATGTGTCTCCAGATGTGATACAAACTTCAGGTATACAGTAATACATACAAGGCAAGTTTACTAAAAATATTTAATTTGAATCTAATCAAGCATCTATTCCTAATTTCTAGATTACTAGAAATATTACATATGAAGGAGTTCGGTTTTAACAAAAAGCAATCAGACAAATCAATAAACATTCAACAATAAATGGCCAGTCTCTTAAAAAAAAAAAAAATAATACCAACCGGAAAAAAGATAGGGAGAAAGTGACATAATAACTTAGGAATTTTTAGGAGTAATTAGATGTGACGGATCTCAATGTCTACAAATTACTTGGTTGCTTTTAAAAAATGTCATAAAAGACAATTTGGTGTCATTTCGGAAAATTTGAGTATGGTTTAAATGGTACTTATTAACTTTTTTTAATGTGATATTAAATGTCCTTATTTAGGGTTGACACTTCAAATCATTCATCAGCCCAGCAAGTGTGACTCAGTGGTTGAGCATCCACCCATGAACCAAAAGGTCACTGGTTCGATTCCTGGTCAGGGCAAATGCCCAGGATTCAAACTTGACCCCCAGTAGGAAAAATGCAGGAGGCAGCAAATCCATGATGTTTCTCTCTCATCAATGTTTCTATCTCTCTATCCCTCTCCTGTCCTATCTATAAAATAAATAAATAAATAAATAAATAAATAAATAAATAAATAAATTCAAAAACATTTTTAAAAACCCATAAATAGGCCCTAGTCAGATTGGCTCAGTGGATAGACTGTTGGCCTACAGACTGAGATGTCCCTGGTTCGGTTCTGGTCAAGGGCATATGCCTGGGTTGCGAGTTCAATCCCCAGTAGATGGTGTGCGGAAGGCAGCCAATTAAGGATTCCCTCTCACCTTTGATGTCTCTCTCTCTCTCTCTCTCTCTCTCTCTTTCTCGCTTGCTCCCTTTCTCTCTGAAATCAATAAAAAATATATATATAAAACAAACAAACAAAAAAACAGTTCATCAGACATGAATGAGTATGTACATACACACATAGTAAATGTGGCAATAAATTAATCATTATTCAAAAGCTAGATTGTGGGTATGCGGTATAGGTTGTGGGTATACAGTATTGTTATATAGTTTTTTTTGTATATTTGAAAGCTATAAGAGAATATTAGAAAAAAAAACACCTTTCTCCCAAATTAATCTCAAGCAAAAAATAAAACCAAAGCAAATCTAAAAACCCAGAGAATATTCTAGACTCTAAGAAATCAGCCACACAATGAGTGAACCTTGAATGGATCCTGGGTAAACAACCATAGTATTTTGTATTTTTGGAATAATGAAGGTCATTTATACATGAACTGCATATTATATATTAGGAGGCAATTAATTTTCTTAGTTGTGATAACAGAATTGTGGTGATATAGAAGATGTTCATTATTTTTTGAATTTTAGGAATTTTTAGGAGTAATTAGATATAAAGGGCCTCAATGTCTACAAATTACTTTCAAATGGCTCAGAAAAAAATAAGAGCAAGAAAGACAAACAGTAAAGCAAATATGATAAAATGTTAATGATAACTGAATCTACCCCATGAGTATATAGTTGTTCCTTGTTCATTCTTTCAATTTTATCCATACGTTTGACATTTCATAATAATAAAGTTTCAAAATTAGATGTAAACTTTTTAATAGAACTCCCATCTATTATGGTTATCCTTTAAATGAAAAATATCAGCAAAGTATCCTCCCACCTATTCATTCAATTTAGTACCAAGTTACCTACTTAAGTAAGAATTAAGGTGTTGAATACAAGTTCCAAAAAATTCATCCCTTTGAGGCGGATCATAGTTCAAGGTGCTGAATGGAAGAATAATAGGAAAGATTGCAAAAGGATGAATCTGTATAAACAGAACAAAAACATTTACTTTAACTTCAGTAAAACAAAATTTTAGCCTAATTATTTTGGGTAAAAGTCATTTTCTAACATGCCTATAGTTAAATGATACACGCATTACTCTATTTAATTTTTCTAACCTGCTATAATCTATTTAACCCCACTAATTTCTAGTAACTCTAAAGAAAATCAGATAATGTACAAATTGTTAGATGTAAAATCTTATTCCAGAAATTCACTAATCATTAAAATGCATAGGAAGCTGGTATAGCTTAACAGCTGAGTGTCAACCCAGGAACCAAGAGGTTACCGGTTTGATTCCTAGTCAGGGACAAGCCCCCTTGCTGGCTCAATTCACAGAAGTGGTGTATGCAGGAGGCAGACAATGTGTTGTTCCTCTCCCATCGATGTTTCTATCTCTTTATCCTTTTCCCTCCCTCTCTCTCTATAAAAATCAATGAAAATATATTTTTTTTAAATGAGTAGGAAGTATCACTAATTTATATAATTTATATGATATCAGTGCATTTTGTACTCATAATATAATGAAAGGTTTCTTATTTTATAATAATCATAATTTATTTTTCTTTCATTCACTATTTTTCACTATTCACTTACTTATCCAATACTACCAAGAAATATGTTAAACAAATAAGACAGACTTTTATTTTTATTTGAGAAAATACTAAATAAAAATCTTATAAAAACAAAAACTCAAAAAGTAGCACTTTATAAGAAATGAATTTGTAAGAAAACACACTGATAATCTAAGAATACAGCAGACCTGCCCTGGCCAGGTAGTTCAGTTGGTGAAAGCATTGTCACAATACACCAAGGTTGCAAGTTAAGGCAAATACAAGCAGCAAGCAATAAATGCATAAATAAATGGAATAGTAAATCAATGTTTCGGTTTCTCTCTCTTCCTCTCTCTAAAAATTAATAAATTTTTAAAAATACAGTAGATCCTAAACAATATGGGTTTGAACTACATGGATCTTTTTTTTTGTCAATAAATATTGTAAATATATTTTCTCTTCTTATCTTCTTTCTTACAAATTTTTTTTATTGATTTCAGAGAGGAATGGTGAGGGAGAGAGAGAGAGAGAAAGAGAGGGAGAGAAATATCAATGATGATAGAGAATCATTGGTCGGCTGCATCCTGCAAACCCCCTACTGGAGATAGAACCTACAACTCAGGCATGTACCCTGATCAGGAATTGAACTGGTGACCTCTTGGTTCATGGGTCAATGTTCAACCACTAAACCACATTGGCTGGGCTATCTTTAAAACATCTTCTTTTCTCTAGATAACTTTATTATAAGAATTATAGTATTTAAGATACAAAATATGTTATTCTACTGCAAATAAAATGGACAACAAATCAATGTTTCTCTCTCCCTCTCTCTAAAACCAATAAAATTTAAATTTAAATTAAAAAAAAAACCCACACTAAACTATTAGTAGTTAAGTTTTGGAAGAGTCAAAAGTCATTTAAGGATTTAATGATAACTCCCACATTGTTCAAGTCAGTGGATACCTTTTAATTTTGTTTTCATACTTTTCTCACAATTTAAATGTAAGGTATTTTTTTAAATAGTAAAAGTAGTATCACAGGATTACAGAAAATAAAAAAAGGGAAACAAAAATTATTCATACTACTCTAATATCCTTCTTAATAATAACCAGTATTGCTTTTAGTACTTCCTTCTAGTCAATGAACTTTGATCACTGATTTTAACAATCTGTCCATTATCTGTAATGCTGGAGAAAAAGGTTTTAAGAGGAGAAACAACAAATTGCTGAACCAAAAATTAAAGTTTAATTTTTAGCCGAAACCGGTTTGGTTCAGTGGATCGAGCGTCAGCCTGCAGACTGCAAGGTCCCAGGTTCGATTCCGGTCAGGGGCATGTGCCTTAGTTGCGGGCACATCCCCCGTGGGAGGTGTGCAGGAGGCAGCTGATCGATGATTCTCTCTCATCGATGTTTCTAACTCTCTATCCCTCTCCCTTCCTCTCTGTGAAAAATCAATAAAATATATATTTTTTAAAATAAAATAAAATAAAAAAATAAAGTTTAATTTTTAAACTTCAAATTCCAATCAAGGTATCAAAGTACTTACAATACATATTTGTTTTTATAAGTTAACAACTATATAAAATGGTGTGACATTTCAATTTCACCTTTTCAATCTGCTGAAGGACCACTGAGGCTATCTTGTCAAGCAGCAAAGTATTGAGGTAGTTAGTTCTAGAAATGAAATATGCAATTCCCGCAACATTTGTGTAATTAATTCCATCCACCAAACGCTGTAAAGTAGCAACTGTTTCTTCAAGAAGAGATTCAGAAAACCAGTCTCCTTTTAAAGATTTAATTTCTGCCCATAACGAATTCAAATTGTTGTATTTTTGTAGTCTCTGATGACCGTAGTGATCTATTTTTTGAAGTAGTTTCAGCTGTTTTCCAGTAGTGTTATCTGGATACACATGACCATATTGAATCCATCTTAAGACAGATGTGGCAAAACTATTCAGGTCATTTAGGTCAAACTGTGGTAAAACTGCTTCAATTCGAGATATCCCCACTTCATCTAAGTGAGGAGATGGAAGTTTAGAAATGGCAGAGACCAGGATGGAAATCTCACTAGTTTTGACACTAATTTTCAAATAACTATAAAGAAAGGGAGGGAAAGTAAAAAGAACAAAATTAATACATAAGCAAAAAATATATATATATTATATACATATATATATACACACATAAGTATACATAAGTATTAAAATACAAATATGTAATTATTATTCTAACTAATGGATGGGGGTGGCATAATATACAAGTTAATTAAAGAAGAGTTAACTAAATCAAAGAAAGGTCCATAGAGTTACTAAGGGAAGCCATAAGATAATATAAAGCACATCCCAATTTTTTTAATGCAAAAATAAAACCATGGTTCCCTGAAAACAAAAAAGGTCAGTCTGAGAGCACTGTTTTCCCTCAGTGCTATTGCTAGAGATAGAATTTGGGCTGAATTTCTGATATGACCTGTCAGGAGTTGGTACTTAGTACAGGCACCAGCATACAGCAATCACTGGATTATACTGGTTCCAATTTTATTTCTTCTATCTAGGAAGTCCAGCCTTTAAAAAAAACAGAATTGACTCCATTTTTTATATCTCCTTTCCCAAACATCCACGGTAAGATCCTTACATGAGGACAACAGTTGTTAAAATAAAATAAAAAAATGAGAGCTTTTAAAAATCTTTAGGGCCCTGGCCAGTATGGATCACTTGGTTGAGCATCATGCTGTACATTGAAAGGTCATCAGTTTGATTCCCAGTCAGGGCACATGCCCAAGTTTTGGGTTCAATCCCTGGTTGGGTGTGTATGGGATGCAAACAATCAATGTTCCTTTCACATCAATGTTTCTCTGTCTCTTTACCTCTCCCTTCTCTCTCCAAAATCAATTAAAACATATTTTAAAAGAAGAGTTTTAAAAAATAAATATATAAATAAAAAATATTTAGGCTCTGGCCAGGTAACTCAGTTGGTTAGAGCATACGCCAAGGTTGTGGATTTGATCCCTGGTCATCACATACAAGAATCAACTAATGGCCCAGCCAGTATGGCTCAGTGGTTGAGCATAGACCTATAAACCAAGAGATAACAGTTTGATTCCCAGTCAGAGCATATGCCTGGGTTTCAGGCTTGATCCCCAATAACGGTCATTCAGGAGGCAGCCCATCAATGTTTCTCTTTCATCAATGTTTCTATCTCACTATCCCTCTCCCTTCCTCTCTCTTAAATCAATAAAATGTCTTAAAAAAGAAAGAAAGAAACAAGAAGTCAAGTTGAAGGCCCCTAAATATGAATTTTGCCTTCTTCAGCAGTTCCAATATTTTCATGTTATGCTATTCCTGCCAAAAAGAAGAATGGCTTGGCTTTTTATGCATGCCCTACCGAACTCAGCACCTGACTGGTCTCACTTCCATTTCAAAATATACCAAGTATAAGCATTGGCAGAATGGGCATGGGAAGAGATAACTGTCAAACATTTTTTAATAATAAGCTATCCAATTCTAACTCCTAAAGTTCCACAATTCTTTACATAATTAAACCAAATTAGATTATAAATTGAAAGATTAGATTACAAAATGACTCAACAAACATTTCTGCTTTAATCTTACCTAAGCAATAATTCTCTGAGTTTCACAAAAAACTCTTTACTTTGGAAATGTAAAACAATCAATGCGTGAGTTATCTTCAATAACTCTATTGGTTTATAGTTCTCCAGATTCTTAAGCAGAATTGAAGCAATTCTAAAAAGAATGATAAAACATCTATTATAACAGTTCACTCATTTATTTATTAAACATTTTCTGGGGAGCTCCTTCATGCCACACAAACTCTGTTGGAGACAGCAATGAATAAGACAAGCTTTTCTGTTCTTGAAGTACTGTCTCAAGATGCTGATAGAAATGGTGCCAGGGAGTACTAGACTTATGGGGAAAGGAGATCACTTTATAAGTTATATACGTGTCTAACGAGTATACTGTACACCTGAAACTAATATAATATTGAATATCAAATGTCATTGAAAAATAAACTTTTAAAAGATGGTGATAGAAAAAAATAGAATGAGCTATCAATGAAATATTTAATTATCAATAGTAAGAAGAAAAGCATAGTTTTACTTCCTAAATAAATAAATAAATCTCTCAGAAGAGCCACCAAATTCCACATCTTCCCTCCAAAAAGATATTTACCAAGAATTACTAACAATTATCAAAACTCATTTTTCTTCCTTAAATCCACTAGCCTTATAATAGAAATGCTTCAAAGCAATGGGAAATGCTGAGACAGTAAGTTGGAGGGATAAGGCAGAAGAAATATTTTCAAAATGGAATATGATAATAAAAAAAATAAAATAAAATAAGCCCTAGCTGGTTTGTTTCAGTGGATAAAGTTTTGGATTGTAGACTGAAGGGTCCCTGGTTCGATTCCAGTCAAGGGCACATGCCCAGGTTGTAGGCTCGATCCTCAGTAGGGGGCATGAAGGAGGCAGCCAATCAATGATTCTCTCATTGTTGATGTTTCGCTCTCCCTCTCCCTTGCTCTCTGAAATAAAAATATATTTTAATAATAATAATAATAACATATATATATATATATATCCATGAATTTATTTCCTTCTTAATCTCAAGTTAACAAAAAAGTTAATATGTTGTAGTATGATTTCAAGGTTACAACTGTGGTGTGAAACAAAGCTCACAAAGATGTCAACCATTTTCCAGAAACTGTCCTTTTGAAAAGTAGGATCCTGCTCTATGCTCTCAACTTTCCTAGATTATGATACTCTGCTTGAGAATAACAACAGTAGCAAATGAAATGAAAACTACCATAAACAATTTCAGAATTTCTATTTTGAAAAACAAACTAGGAATAATAAGGTAAGTGTTAATTCCTTATTTCTTCAAAATGAACTGCTAGATTATAGGGGGGAAAAAAACATAATTTTTCCTCAAAAACATAGCTACTTATGAATGACAACTAAACTTAACACCATGAATTTCAGGAAGGACTACTTTTTAATCAGACGTAAATTTCTGCTTTCCATCTCTTCCATTGCTCCAATCACTGCCAGGGCTTGCTGGCTGGTCAGCTCCTGTGATATCAATAATATACTTGACTCAAGTCTAGAAGCAAAAAAAAAAATATTTTTAGGTTGAAAAATGGATAGTTTATTAAAAAAAAATTTTAAATAACAGTTCCTAAGTAACGATTAGAAAATATGAAGTAAAACAATTCAAATATGCTCTCATAGCTTTTCCCGGACACTTTAGTTCACATTTTTCTCACTTGTCTGTCTGCCCATAGCACTTACTAACTGTATCATTAATTTGGATACTTATTCATAAACTATTTTGCAGTATCATAGTATTTATGTATTTCAATTATATATTTCTATCCTCCCAATTAGAACATAAAATCTTTGAAGGGAGGGATCCAGTTAAATTCAACTTTTGTACTGCTTTAGCATATGAGATTTTAATAATACCTATTGACAAAAAAAGAGAGATTCCAATAAGGTTCCTTAAATAATCATCTTGTTCCATCATGACTGTTTCCTAAAATGTATCTTTAAATTTCTTCATATATATTTCAAAGGATTCTTAAAAATAAAACTCTCTATGAAGTTTTGGCTAACAGAGTAATGATGTAGATACCACTCTCTGGAACCCCTGCTTAAGTAATCCACTAATAGTACTTATCCATTTGCTCTTATCAGTAATCATGTATACAGTATTTGCTCATTTTTATTTCCCTAAAATTTCTATTTACATTAATATCTAGGAATACTGGAAATTCTTCTAAGATGGGAGATAGATTAAATTCACTCAAACCTAGCATGGGAATATATGCCAATGTGTATAATATAAATATTTTGATGATGAATGGGAAGACAAAGAAAAAAATGGTCTTGTTAACTACTATAATTCTGAATAGTCCACAGCCTATATTGGGCAGGGCAGTCTTATACCTATTTAAAGCCAGTCACATGACCTAGGAAGGGAGAATAAAGGTCTTTAAATAGTGTTCTCCCTCATCATTTGCCACAGGGGGTACTGGCTCCCTTTCAGAACACAATAGCGGAATAAGAGTTTGAGATGTAAATTAGAATAAACAGAGAAGGAATCAAGGAGCAGAGCATATGAGATTATTTTCCATTCCACAGTTGATTTTTTTGCCTTCCATAATACAATATCTAAGCTTGAAGGCTCCAAACAGTCTCCCCTGAAAAGTAAAGCATTTTTAGCAGAACTTACTGTTTCTTTTCTTCAGGTCCTGCCATGGGTCCCAATACTACAAACAATTTTACAAAGGTAGCAGGCTGATCAAACAGAGGGATCATTTCAGTTAGCCTCTTTTTAGTTATTAAAATAAATTCAAAATTATTAAATTGTAGAGAGTGGTACAGGCTAGATATTTTACTGATGGTGTCCAAATCAAGATCATTCATATTGCTTAAAAACACTTTATTACACCTTTCTAATAGTGGGTAATAACTATATTTAATATTTCTAAGGAATTGTAGTATTCTTCTTGCAATGTTGACCTGGGAAGAATCTATGGTATCAAAAAGAAGTTCTGTTTTCTTCACTAATTGTTGTTGAAAATGTTGTGATGTTAAAGAAGATATGCTGACCATCAAAACAGACAAAGACCTAAAAAAGGGAAAAGATGCAAAAAAATTTACATTATTTAAAAACAATGAACAAATCTAAGACTAAAAACATAGATATAGAAAGGAACTGGTAAAAATATCTGTTTTATAACAATTTTTTTAAATACTAGAACTTGACTCAGATCTCTGAGTAATTGAACCTCTTTAAACAAAAAAAAGCATTAAGTAATATTTTTATTGAATATATATAATATCTTGTTCTATAAATATCTTCTTTGAAGAAAAATGTGTTTTTAATTTTTTTATTTTTTTTTAAGAGAGAAAGAGAGACTGATCAATCTGTTGTTTCATTTATTTATCATTCATTGGTTGCATTCATATGTACCCTGACTGGGGAATCAAACCTTGGTGTATCGAGATGATACTCTAACCAACTGACCAACAGGCCAGGGCTAAAGGAAAATATTTTAGTGAAATTTACTCAGAAATCACTGGACCAACAGCTCATGAATGCAACATCAAAAGTCTCATTTTGTATTTTAGGTAGTAGAACTTTGCTTTATTACTCTTGTCTCTGTATATCTGTCCTATATAATAAAAGTCTAATACGCGCCAAAACCAGTTTGGCTCAGTGGATAGAGCTTCGGTCTGTGGACTGAAAGGTCCCAGGTTTGATTCCGGTCAGAGGCATGTACACTGGTTGCAGGCACATCCCTGGTGTGCGGTGTGCAAGAGGGATGTGCCTGCAACATCCTGGTCAATCTCTCTCTTTCATCGATGTTTCTAGCTCTCTTATCTCTCTCTGTAAAAAAAACAAAAAACAATAAAATATATATTAATAAAAAAAAAAAGCCTAATACACTAAGTGTCTGACCTATCCGACTGTTCGTTCTACTATTTGACCAGTCACTATGACAAGCACTGACCACCAGGGGGCAGATACTCCAACCAGAAGGTTAGTTTGCTGTTGGGATATGGCCGATTGGGACTGGGCGAGACGGGCAGGACATGCCCTGGAGCCCTCCTATGATCCCTCCTTGGCCCCAATTGTGAACCAGTGAGGTCCCTTGGCCTGGCCTGTGGGGATCAGGCTGAAACTCTCTCTCTGACATTTCCTGAGGGGTCCTGGATTGCAAGAGGGTGCAGGTCAGGCCGAGGGACCCCACCAGTGCACAAATCTGCGCACTGCACCTCTAGTTTACTAATAAATATCTTGGTAAAATATTTCTAATAATTTTATATATTTTAATGATTCATGCTAGATTGATATTAATGTATGACAGACAATACCATACATGAAGTAGCATTTAATATTTATTCAATCAATAAACACTTTAAAATATATATAAAATAATAATTTAAAAAAACACATAAATCACTCTTCTAGGCACTTGGAAGACAACAAAATTACAAAAGTAAGGTCCTTGCTTTCAAATGACAGTTCTTATATAATAAAAATCAGGTAGGGAGGGCATGTGGGGGGGGCGCAATGGTATATGTACAAAGATGCCGAAACTGGTTTGGCTCAGTGGATAGAGCGTCGGCCTGCAGACTGAAAGGTCCCGGGTTCAATTCTGGCCAAGGGCACGTACCTTGGTTGCGGGCACATCCCCAGTGGGGGTATGCAAGAGGCAGCTGATAGATGTATCTCTCTCATCGACGTTTCTAACTCTCTATCCCTCTTAATTCCTCTCTGTGTAAAAATCAATAAAAAATATTTTTTTAAAAAAATGGTATATGTACAAAGATAATAATTTAATAAAAAAATTTAAAAAAATAATTTAAAAAATAAAAATAAAAATCAGAAAATCACAACTACAAGAATGCATCCATAATGATGAATAAATGCATAATGGAAAAGAGATATAACAAGGACTCTGATTGGATAGCTCAGTTGGAGCATAGTCTCAATGTGCCAAGGTTATGGATTGGATCCCCAATAGGGACACACATAAAAATTCCTTCCTCTCTCTCTAAAAATCAATAAGTAAAAATTTTTATTAAAAAAGGCATATAGCCGAAACCGGTTTGGCTCAATGGACAGAGCATCGGCTTGGGGACTGAAAGGTCCCGGGTTTGATTCCGGTTAAGGGAATGTACCTTGGTTGCAGGCATATCCCCAGTAGGGGGTGTGTAAGAGGCAGCTGATTGATGACTCTCTCTCATTGATGTTTCTAACTCTCTCCCTTCCTCTCTGTACAAAATTAATAAAATATTTTTTTAAAAAAGGTATATAACAAATACCTGGGGATGATAATAGAAAACCACCTACAGAAAAGATATAAAAATATAAATCTGAAACTATCTCAACCATTAGGATAGTGGAACTATTTACTAATTTTTGTTTCCAAATTTCAATCTTTTCAAGAAAATGAATCTACTTTTAAAGACCCAGTTGTATAAAACTTTGGCTTCTCTACTCAAATGTTTAAAGTTAATATTTGCATTAACTAGTAACCTAACATTGCTATTTAGTTTAACCATAAAGACCCCTGAAATTATTTTTCAAAATTATATATATATTTGAAACTGCAGTTTGGAGTGAGGAAATGTCCAAACATTTCATTAGATTTTCTAAAGGGAATCTATAATAATTTTTAAAGTTAAACAAAATTTACAACAATTTTTATTGTCTGCTTTTACAAGCTACTTCTATGTGTGTAGAAAAATGACATAATGTAAAATTTACTATTTTAAACATTTTTAAGTGTACAGTTAAGTGATATTAAGTACATTCACAATGTTGTACAATCATTACCACCATCCACCTGGAGAACATTTTCATATTCTCAAACTAAAACTCCTTACTTATTAAATAATAAATCTCCATTTCCTCAATGCCCAAATCCTGGCAACAGACATTCTACTTTGTTTTGCTGGCTTTGACTACTCTAGGTCAGTGGTCAGCAAACTGCGGCTCCTGAGCCACATGCAGCTCTTTGGCCCCTTAAGAGTACCCTAAGTAAGTTAATAACAATGTATCTACCTATATAGTTTAAGTTTAGAAAATTTAGCTCTCAAAAGAAATTTCAATCATTGTACTGTTGATATTTGGCTTTGTTGACTAATGAGGTTGCCAACCACTGCTCTAGGTAATTCGTCTGAAGCCGAATCATGCAGAATTTGTCCTTTTGCATCTGGATTATTTCACCTAGCACAATGTCTTTAGGGTTCATCTATGTTGTAGCATGTGTCAGAATTGCCTTCCTCTTTAAAGCTGAATAATATTCTATTGTAGATACATACCACATTTCGATTGTCCATTCTTATATTAAAAGACATTTGGGTTGTTTCCAAATCTTTTGGCAATTGTGACTAATATTGCCATAAACATTGGTATATATAACGGACTAAACTGTTACGATATTGTGTTATACTTTAAATACTTCATCTCTAATTCCCATAACAACATTGAAAAGTAATTACACTACTATCCCTGTTTTATAAATGCGGACAGTGAACTTCTTAAGAAGTTAAAGTCACATAATTAGAAATTAGCCAATCTAAGTGTGTATGCGTACAAAGCCCAGAACCTTTCCACCACAACACAAGGGCTTTCTAAATAAATTTACCTTAAGTCCTGTATGGTTTCCAAGTTCCTACTTACAATATCAGCTATTTTTCCCATTAATGGACTAAAATATAAGTGTTGATCTGCTAGGCAAGTGGAAAATTTTGCCAGCACATTCATATCAAACCTAATGGAGAAATATACAGAAGAAATCATTAGTATTTACTTCCTCTTAAAACACATAAAAAACAGTTATAAAATTTAAAAATTATAAAATTATTATATTACTAATACATTAGTACTTTCAAATGAATTTTTCTAAAATGTTATTTTTTATTTTTAAAGTAACCCATGCTGCCTGGTTGGTGTGGCTCAGTGGTTGAACTTCGACCTGGTTGGTGTGGCTCAGTGGTTGAACCATGACCTCCTGGTTCAATTCCTGGTCAGGACACATGTCCAGGTTGCCAGCTTTATCCTCAGTGAAGATTTGCCAAAATGAGCTTTGTTATTCTCTCAGCCTCTCTTATAAATGGAGAGTTCTCATATACTCTTGTATAATACAAATTGTATAGACTTCTCAATACTCAAGAATACCCTTAATAGCCGAAACCAGTTTGGCTCAATGGATAGAGCATCGGTTTGGGGACTGAAGGGTCCCGGGTTCGATTCCGGTCAAGGGCATGTACCTTGGTTGCGGGCACATCCCCAGTAGGGGGTGTGCAAGAGGCAGCTGATCGATGACTCTCTCTCGTCGATGTTTCTAACTCGCTATCTCTCTCCCTTCCTCTCTGTACAAAATCAATAAAATAAAAATAAAAATAAAAAGAATACCCTTAATAAATTTCACATTTTTTTAGATGATTATTGATTATAACAACATGATGAAAATAGCAGAGTTTGGCCCTACCCAGTTTTGCCCAGTGAATAGCGCGTCGGCCTGTGGACCAAAGGGTCCCGTGCTTGATTCTGGTCAAGGACATGTACCTTGATTGCAGGCTCCTCCCCAGCCCAGGCCCTGGTGAAAGTACATGCGGGAGGCAACCAATTGATGTGATCCTCTCCCATCAATGTTTTTCTCTGTCTTTCCCTCTCTCTTCCATTCTCTAAAAAATCAAAGGAAAGCCGAGATCGGTTTGGCTCAGTGGTAGAGCGTCGGTTTGGGGACTGAAAGGTCCCGGGTTCGATTCCAGTCAAGGGCATGTACCTTGGTTGCGAGCACATCCCCGGTGGGGGGTGTGCAAGAGGCAGCTGGTCGATGTTTCTCTCTCATCGACATTTCTGGCTCTCTATCTCTCTCCCTTCCTCTCTGTGAAAAATCAATAAAATATATTAAAAAATAAAAAATGTTAAAAAAAAAATCAAAGGAAAAATATCCTCAGGTGAGGATTAACAAAAAAAAAAAAAAAAAAAGAAGAGCCGAAACCAGTTTGGCTCAGTGGATAGAGCACCGGCCTGTGGACTGAAAGGTCCCAGGTTCGATTCCGGTCAAGGGCATGTACCTTGATTTGCGGGCACATCCCCAGTGGGGAGTGTGCAAGAGGCAGCTGATTGATGTTTCTCTCTCATCGATGTTTCTAACTCTCTGTCCCTCTACCTTCCTCTCTATAAAAAAAAATCAATAAAATATATTAAAAAAAAAAAAAAAAAGGAAGAAAGAAAATAGATGAGTGTGTAGTTTAGAAAATAAATCTGTTTGCAGCAATGGACCTGAAAGCTTCTAAGTCACTGATGAACTCTGTTCATTGCCTCTCCATAAAAAGAGAGATTGGCAAGTTCCTACAGATGCTGTTCAAGTGTTTTCCTTTCTAGTAAGCTGGTGCCTTCTTTTTTCTTTTTTTTATGGCTCCAGAACAACTAGGTTTTAATTGACTGCCTATCACTCAAAAAATCTTCTTTCTGAAGTAGAACTCTTCCAGAAAAGAAAATTCAAAAATGCCAGTGCATGATGTAATGAACAAAATAAATGGATAAAATAGAAACAGAAGCAAGGGAGAGGGGGGAAAGAGGGACTGGATAAAAGGAAGTGAAGGAATTAGCCAAAAAAACATATGCAACCATAGACAGGCAACAGTGTAGTGCTTGGCCATAGGGAAGGGGGTTGAGGGGAAGCTGGGTGTAGGTTGGCAAAGGGGAAGGAAGAGGAAAGTGAAATAGGGACACCTGTAATAATGTCAACAATAAAAATAAAGTTTAAAAAAATGCCAGACCATGAATAGCTGACTCTACCTTATTTATATTTATATTTTGACTAGAGGCCCGGTGCATGAAATTCGTGCATGGGGGCGGAGGGTGAGGGTGTCCCTCAGCTCAGCCTGCACCCTCTCCAATCTGGGACTCCTCGAGGGATGTTCGACTGCCCATTTAACAGGCAGTCGGACATCCCCCTCACAATCCAGGACTACTGGCTCCCAACTGCTCACCTGCCTGTCTTCCTAATTGCCCCTAACCGTTCTGCCTGCCAGCCTGATCACCACTCCCAACCACTCTCCTGCCAACCTGATCGATGCCTAACTGCTCCCCTACTGGCCAGATTGCCCCTAACTGCCTTCCCCCGCACTCCCTACTGGGGATGTGCCTGCAACCAATGTACATGTCCTTTACCGGAATCGAACCTGGGACCTTTCAGTCCGCAGACACGCTCTATCCACTGGGCCAAACCGGTTTCGGCAGCTTTATTGTTGACAGAAACAAATTACAGATGTCTCCCATTTTATCCTTTTTGCCTCCCTTCACCCAACCCTGCCCCACCTCAGGCATTCCCCATACTGTTGTTTGGGTATGTTCCTGGCTCTTAATTTAAAGAGGAAACATCTGAAATACTGTTCTTTCTCCCTCAAGGAAAAACACACTCCCCATTTTTTTCCTACAAGATTTCACTGTGCCAACCCTGAAAAAGATAACCCTGATCGTAGGGGAAGAACTCAGAGTAGTACTTGCCTTTCCAGTCTTTTCCATGCTTCTGTCACTAGTGCTTCAACTAGTGGGTCATGGGACTCAACAGCAAACCTCAATAAAAACAAGAGAAAATAATTTCCTATATCTATGCATTTTTAAATTATTAAAAACACTTGTAGTATGAATTATAATGCAAAAATGAACTTATTATACTCTGAGACAGTCCTTATTTCTGGTCTGCTTTCATTTCAGTATTGTGATTTCTTAGTACAATCTAATAAATATCTATACTTCATCTCATATCTTGTTAACGTTTTATCTGCTTGTTCAATGCCCTCTACTGAACAATGAAAATGCTCAAAGATGTATTTCATGTTAAAAATACACATAGCCCTAGCCAGTTTGGCTCAGTGAATAGAGCATCGACCTGCAAACTGAAAGGTCCCAGGTTGGATTCCAGTCAAGGATACGTGCCCAGGTTGTGGGCTCGATCCCTAGTAAGGGACTTGCAGGCGGCAGCATATCCATGATTCTCATTCATCATTGATGTTTCTGTCTCTCTTTCCCTCTCCCTGCCTCTCTGAAATCAATAAAAAATATTTTTTTTAATATTTGTCACAGGAATGTAGAGTACACATAAGAAATATAGTTAATAATATTGTAATGACTATGTATGATGCCAGGTGGGCATTTGAAATATTGGGGGAATCACTTTGTAAAGTATACTGTCTAACCATTATCTTATACACCTGAAACTAACACAAAATAATGCAGAATGTAAACTGTAATTGAAAAATAAAATTTAAATTAAAAAATAATGAAGTTCATAACATATACTACACTACCAGCAACATATAAGAGTTCCTGTTCCAGCATAGCCTTTTTAAAATAAAAATATATTTTTTAGAAAAGAGTTCCTATTCCAATATATCTTTACTAACAATGGATATTTTACACATGTAATTAAGCCACATATACCATATATTGTATGTATAAAAGTTTTTCTTTTTAACCAATTTCAACATCTTTATGTTAATAAGCCTATATTATTTTATCTCCTAAAAATCAAAGAATTTCAGGTTGAGTCATGAAGCAAAATCAAACTACATCCTGTTTAAAAATCTTGAAAACACAACTGCATTATTCTTGAAATCCTTTCCTTATTAAAATATTATACCAGAAGCCCGTCGCACGAAATTCATGCACGGGTGGGGTCCCTAGGCCTGGCCAGTGAGCAGGACCTATTGGGACCATCTCACCCAGTCCCAATTGGGGCTGGGTCAGTTGGCTGCCAGACAAAGCTTGCCAGCGGGGGAGGGACTGAGGCAGGTTGGCTGGCCGTGGTTGTTGGCTGTGGGAGCACACTGATCACCAGGGGGCAGTCTCTGCATTGAGCATCTGTCCCCTGGTGGTCAGTGCACGTCATAGTGACTGGTTAATGTCGTTCTGGCCATTCAGTTGTAACAGTCATTTAGATTTTTATATATATAGATGACTTGAAGAAATATAGAAATGCAGTTTTTAGGCAAATTACCAAGCAGCATTTCTTCTTTTGTGCCTGACACACACATCAATCTTGTGAGATGTTCAACACAATGTTTTGTGGTTAAATAAGTTTGGAAAAATGCCCATTTAGAATTCAAATACACACTGCCATATTAATGGCTCTGAAGAGTCCTGCAATAAAGATCTGGTTAATTTTGTCTGGTTCGGCATTTTCCAAACTAACATGACCACTGAGAAAGCAAAACTGGTATTTTGCCCAGTTCATCATTACATATTCTCTTCATGTACCCCAGAAAAAAAACTTTGCAATCTGAGAAAGACCACCAAAAACAAGGGAGAGCCACTCTTTTTCATTCTTACACATATCCCCAACGTAAGTAAAGCTTTACACCCCTTTACTATATGTCGGCTCCCTAATAAAAACAGCTTTATCTATGCTTTATGCAACGTCAACATCTGTAGCTACTTAAATAGCCCTTGCAAGTTGGCTAATCCTGAGAAAACTATTTTTCCACCAGAGACTAACAAACAAACTAATTATAACTTTTGTGTGCTTTTTTTGCCATTTATATAACTGCTGAATCCTTTATTTAGGGAGTTCAGTTCTTCTGAAGGCTTGATTCCCTTGCAAACAGTGTAGTTTCTTTCCTTTTTACATTTTTCCCAGCTTTATTGAAGTATTAGAGGCCTGGTGCACAAAATTCATGCATCGGGGGGAGTGTTACTCAGCCCAGCCTGCACCCTCTCCAATCCAGGACCCGTCAGGGGAAGTCTGACTGCCAGTTTAGGCCCAATCCTGCTGGCAATCGGACATCCCTCTTGCAATCTGGGACTGCTGGCCCCTAACTGCTCCCCTGCCAGCCTGATTGCCCCTAACTACCTCTGCCTGCCTGCCTGCCTGATCACTCCTAACTGCCCTCCTCTGTGGGCCTGGTTGCCCCTAACTGCCCTCCCCTACTGACCTGGTTGCCCCTAACAGCCCTCCCCTGCTGGCCTACTCTTCCCTAACTGCCCTCCCCTGCCAGTGTGGTTGCCCCTAACCACCTCTGCCTCAGCCCCCTCCACTGTGGCTTCACCTGGAAGGACTTCGGAAGGATGCCGGGAAGATGTCTGGTCTAATTAGCATTTACCCTTTTATTAGTATAGATGATTAATATTGTATATATTGAGGTTGCACATGATGCTTTGAGATGCAAATATTGTGACATGATTACCACAATCAAAGAATATTCTCTAAACATCTTTAAAACATTAGATGATCAGAAAAACAATAAGAAAAATATAGTTTTCCATTTTAAAGAGATATTTAGAAAATTAAAAATAATCATTTCTATAAAATCTAAAAATACATTACTTACTGTTGTATGCAGTACAACACATTCACCAGGTTATCATCATTCATAGATTCCATTTTATTTGTAGTTAAATTATAAAGAGTAAGAAATTGGGGGTGGTTTTTTATATATTCAACACTTTTCAACAAGCCAGTATTCTGCTTCTGAAACTGACAAAGTATATTAAATGCATATCCCACTTCCTCTTCTGAAATTATGGCTTTGTTTTCTTCAATAAGATCAAATACTTGCTCTTCATTCGTACACTTATCCATCTGGCTAATTAACGGTTCACAACCGAAGAGTCGAAAACGAAACACTCTCCAGGAGAATGAAGAAATGGCTCTTAGGGAAAGCATATTTGTAAACAATGAGTCTAGAAAAAAAGGTGCTTTTTCATTCACATCACAAATTTTCGTGGGTTAAAAAAATCATTTACAACTAGTAGCCAGGTACAACATGCTGGTACAAAAATAACTGTTTTTCCTTCATATTGTTTGCTTCCATTATGATGACTCCAAGTCCCACTCCAACATACAGCCTCTGTAAAATAATTGGTTTAAGATGGCTATACTTATATGATTAATATCAAACTAATCCCAATATTCAAATTAAAGTAACAAGTTTTTTGTACTAACTAGAGATGTTGTTCTTAGTCTAAACTAGATAGTAGGGTTTGATTCAAAACTGAATGTCCAGAAAACAAGGCTTCTTTCTGCATCCCACTTAAAAAAATGTTTGTTAGGAAATACAGTCAATAATATGGTGGCAGATGGGTACTAACGTTATTGTGGTGATCACTTCATAAGGTACATAAATGTCAAAACACTGCCTTGTACACGTGAAAATAATATAATATTGCATGTCAACTATAACTTAAAATTATTTTTTAAATGTTGTTACATATAACACTTAGATAAAGTTTTCAAATTTAACCATAACAGCAATGGGGGAGAAAAGTCTCAAACCTTTTTTTTTTTAAGAGTAAAACTGATGCCCAGACAGACTTAGTGGCTCAGCTGGTTGAGCATTGTCCTGTGCACCAAGGGTTTGCTGGATTGATTCCCAGTCAGGGCACATACCTTAGTTTATGATTGGATCCCCATCGAGGGAGCATACAGAAGGCAACCAATAGATGTTTCTTTCTTACAGTGATGTTTCTCTCTCTCCCTAAACATGTCCTCAGGTGATTTAAGGGGGGTTGGGGGGGGAGAGAAAGAGTAATACTGCAATAAATAAATATATCACCTTTAAAGTTTCTACAAAGAGTAACCATTAATTCAGAGCCATCATTAAAGATAAAATTCAGAAGAATAAGTCTCTGGTATACTTGCTTTCAGGATAATTTTTTGCTCCTTTCTCCTGGTGCCCCAAACTAACTCAAACAATTTAGTCACTTTTGACCTTAGATATAGGTTTTAACCAATAAGCAAGATGATTAAAGGTCCAATCAGAAAAATATGGGGGAAACAAGTGATGTGACACGATATGGTGAAGCAATAAATGAACTAAAGATAATTATGAAAAGTAATTTGTTTTAAAAATATATTATAGGCCTTGCCAGATAGCTCAGTTAGAGCACTGTCCAGATACGCCAAGGTTGAGGGCTTGATCCATGGTCAGGGCTCATATAAGAGACATCTGTAATACTTTCAACAAGAAAGAATTAAAAAAAATAACTCTTAAAATCTCATAAAATTATATTGTTATTATGAAGCTGTCAAGAAAAAAAAAATAACTAACCCAATGAGTGCATAAGTGGAACAACAAATCTTTCCTCCCCTCCTTCTCTCTGAAGACTCCATTTTAAAAATTTAAACATAACTGTTTGTATTTCTAGTTAAGAAACAATGGTTTTTAAAGCTAGGACTAAAATTACATCATCTAGTACTTCTGCAACATTCTAAAGAGGGCTTTTAAAATATATTATGCCATTAAATTTTCTGGACCTGCCAGATAGATATTGTCGTTTGCATTTTACAGGTAAGAAAAGCTAGGTTGCAAAAAGATTTAAAAATGACTCTAGTACTAGTGAAGCTGGGACAATCATACCCATTATTTCAACTCTTTCAACTTGAACACCTCATTCCACTAACAACCCAACACTAAGCATACATACGCTCAGACTCCTCTCTATGGCTATGCCAAGCTCACAAGAAGAAAAAACGGTAAGAAAAAAATATTGACTACCGTGTGGCAATCCGTACAGCAACCTGATCAGAGGCCACCTGGGTCAAACGCAACTCGGAAAACTCTGCACAAAGCCAAGTTATCTTCCAGATTCTCCCATCTCTCCACAATTCACAGTGGAAGCAACTCAATGATTCCAAATACCAGTGTCAAGTCTCTAGCTCTGTCCCTATCAGGAACCTTGGAGAAGGCATTTAACCAAAGCAGGGCCTTGGGGCTATCCATGAGAGGAAGGTACCACCTGCGAACTGGGTTCCGTGTATTCCCAGTGGAGTATTACAGGATAAATAGCGATGCCCTTCGCACCTGACAGCACCCTCCGCGCCCCGCACTCGGCAGGGCTGAACGAATAAAAACGTGGTCTCTGGGGTCCGCCGGCGTGGGCTTAGCCCTCAAAAAACATCCAACCAACCACCTAAAGGCCCGGGTTCTCAGCTGAACCCGGTGCCCCGGGCCTGAAAACATGCTGGGTGGAAAAAGAAAATCCACCGCAGCGACCGGACCCCGACTTGCCCGCAAACACTTCCTCCAACGCCCCGCAACTTTTTAGAAGGATCCACGCGAAAGCTGGTAACGGTAGGTCAGAAGGAAAGGCTACTCCTGATCCCCAACAACAGACACCATGGGCCCTTCCCTCATAGCACAGTTTTTAGTCTTTACTCAAGAGACATCACCTTTCCTCTGGTGCTTGTGTGTCCCCAAACCGGAAAAAAAAAAAAAAAAAAAAAAATGCCGGTGAGCACAGCGTGCAAGGCGGAATGCAAGCACTACATGTCCCAGAGGACATCGCGGCCAAGTCGGACGAATAGACGACGCTTACGCGTTTGGAGGAATTATGGGAATTGTAGTTCCTCTTTGGAAAGAGACTCTGGGCCAGCACATCCTAAAATATGTTGAAGTGTTGCAGGCCGTTTAGGTCAGTGTTTCTCAGCTATCTGAGGTTTTGTCTTGGTCACGGAAGACTGACATATTTATAATATAAAATAAAAATTAATGTTTAGAAAAATAAAATTTGAAAACGTAAGCATGGAAAAGACACGTGTGGAATTTTGTTTCTTACTACTATATAGGGATGAAACTGAGACTGACCTGTGACAATGCCCTTCAATCAAAGAACACCAATACCTACAGTATCCAGCAAAGTTATTCAGAATTGAAGGGAAGATAAAGAGCTTCACAGATAAGAAAAAGTTAAAGGAGTTCATCACCACCAAACCAGTTATTATATGAAATGCTGAAAGGTATTTTTTAAAGAAGAGGAAGAAGATCAAGTGAATTAAAAATCTGAGGAACAGAATAAACTGATGAATATAATAGAATCAGAGGCAAAGAAAGGGTGTGGATTGATAATTATCAGGGTGAAAGGGGTGTGGGAGGTGCAGAAAGAGACTGGATTAAAATCGTTCACCTATGGATGAGGACAGTGGGTGGGGAGGGAGCTATGAAGGGAAAAAAGGAGAAACAATTGTAATAATCTGAGCAATAAAGATTAAAAAAATAAAAATAAATTAAAAAGAATACACCTACAGTTAAACAAATATGACTGTTTACCATGAAGCAGAACACACCCCAGGGGATGTTAAATTAAGGTGTTAAGAGGAACTTATTCTAGTTTTTAGACTTGTGTTAAATGATTTGGGGGAGATTTAAAAGGGGCCTTTCTCTACATTTGATGCTGTGAGGAAGCAAGGGTAAATATTTTTTATTGTGGATTTTTAAAAAAATATATTTTATTGATTTTTTACAGAGAGGAAGGGAGAGAGAGAGAGAGTTGGAAACATCAATGAGCTGCCTCCTGCACATCCCCTACTGGGAATGAGCCGCATCCAAGGTACATGCCCTTGACCAGAATCCAATCTGGGACCCTTAAGTCCACAGGCCAATGCTCTATCCACTGAGCCAAACCAATTAGGGCTATTGTGTTTCTTATTTTTATTTATTTTTAAACAAAGAATCCATTTAAAATATATTTTTATTGATTTCAGAGAGGAAGGGAGAGGGAAAGAGATAAAAACATCAATGATGAGAGAAAACCATTGATCAGCTGCCTCCTGCACTAGTGGGGATGGAACCCAATATCCGGGCATGTGCCCTTGACAGGAATCAAACCTGGAACCCTTCAGTGCACAGGCCGATGCTCCATCCACTGAGCCAAACCAGAGTTGATTTTTATTTTTTAATCCTCACCCGAGGCTACTTTTCCCATTGATTTTTTGAAAGATTTCCCCATTTTGCTTTCTCTCACATTCTTAATCTCCCACCAATGGATTTCTTGTAACCCTTCTTACCCCACCTCCTTTGATTCTAATATATAAAACTAGATTGGGGTGTGAAGAGAGCAGAGCACCTGAAGAATGGCTCCTCTGTGTATAACACATCCAACAGCAACTTGGGCTTCCTACTCACCGGTGGCAGGATGCTATGCCCTTCCTGTGACATTACACTCTATACATAGAAAACAAATAAAAAAAAAAAAGAAAACTAGAGGCCTGGTGCATGAATTTGTGCACGGGTGGGGGCTGGCAGGGGGAAGGGACCATGGGCAGTTGGCTGGCTTGCCCTGCCCCTGATGGGATGGGGTGAGGTGATTGGGGGCAGGGCTGGCTGGGCAGAGGGGCCATGAGTGGTTGGATGGCTGCTCCTGCCCCCACTCCCAATCAGGGTGTTGGGAACCAATCAGGGACAGAGCCAGCTGGATGGAGAGCTGATTGGGGCCCAGATCAGGCTAGTTGGCTACCATAGTATATGTCATAGCCACCAGTCATTCTGGTTGTTCCGCCATTGCGGTTACTGGGCTTTTATAAATATAAATTGCAAAATTCTCTATAGCATATTCTAAATTTGTTGAGATTTTGCTCCCCAGCATTTGTTGTCAGTTTGGCTCAAATGAACTCATAAGAATTCTCTAGTTGTAGATGTTTCTTACATTGACAATATATGTGTATATTTCTCTTGTAATATGGTATATGTAGAACAAGAATAGTAATGTTACCTTTGTATACTTCAACATGCTAATTATGGTATGATGATCTGTAACATTTCTTCAAAAATGTTTCTGACTGAATGGATGAGAAAGAGGAAGAATACATTAATGTAAGAGTAATGTCATTTACACATTACCTCTACCACTAAGTAGAAGTCTAAGAAACTAATCTATATGTCATACCTA